GGGAAAAGTGACAAGATTAGATGGTCGAAGCACCCTGAATTTAGAAGCGCCGACCCTCGACTGATTGAGACAGAGAATTGGACGCTTCCGTATAAATCTGACGACAATGATACGGAAATCACCGTCTGCATTGCAAGCTGAAATGATGCGCTACAACTGTGTATCGACAGCCCCCACAGCCATCGCATATAAAGAGTTCTACCGAAATTAAATCCACCACGACTCCCGACGCTTCCAGTAGGTTTACGTAGTCCACTGCTTAGTTAAAAAATCGACGTTTTAAAAAGATAAATATTCATAAATAAGAAAATAGGAGGCCGACAAGGGGCTTTATCCATCAAGAAAATCGCATCGATATCCTCTGTGACCTGCTGGTGGCCATGATATAGACAGCGTGAACCAGGAAGGCGCATCCAATGTGAAAAGAGACGGTCTACAGCGTCGAAGTTCGTTAGGCCCGGCAGCCATCTTGTGAAGAACCTATGATAGGCTGGTCGCTCGACAGCGGAATAAGTCGATGGCGTTGAAAGAGAGAAATGAAATCCCAGGTTGGGATGTGGTTCTGAAAACAAAGGTTGACGCTATTACGGCTGTTGCGCTTTGGGAGGGATGACGAGCCTCATATAACCAGAGATCAAGGAAATCAAAGGCCCTTCAAATGAGTTTTGCCCTTTTTGGGTCGAAAAGTATTAGTAGGGAGGCAGTTTAATTTAGACCATCCTTTACTGAATGAAAACCTAAGTGACCGGTTAAGATACCAGGAGAAGTTGAGAAAGGAAGGATGGACTACAGCCCGTGCGGACAGACGGCATGTGTACCATCGGCGGTGACAGAAGAAGTTTACTCCGAGAGTGGGGCCATGAGGCTGCACCTGCACGACTGTGTCAGGGGAGTCGGCCGTTTCCGAGGAAGATCCTTCTGATGCCGAAGATTGTAGGCAAGTCTATCTAGCTATTATATATACAATTCCACACAAAAACTAATAATTAATTAAATCTATACGAATCAAAATAAAAGCGGCGGGCAACATCATGAATTTCATAAAATCATCATGAATTTTGTTATTTATTCCGATACAACCAGAACTGCGTGAAAACGCGAATCAATGTGAAAACATGGTACACATGTGAAATTGTACTGGGATAAAGTTCATAAATAAAATAAAAAAGCCATCTCCTTATTGGGCAACTGAAAGTTGCAGATGGCTTGCGCCATCTATCGGAATAAATATCAACTATTCATTGATTTTTAATTATTCCAGATAAGGAAATGCCTTTTTTAAATTTATGAACCTTATTCCACAGTATAATATCACACACAAAGCCTTTATTGAGACTCTGGTCTCACACAGATTCTCCATTATATGAGAAGGGGTATTATATAAGTAAAAAGAAATTTAAGAAAGATCCAGTTAATTAGACATGTCTTTGATTTTCAAAGCCTTCATGTAAAATTTATATACATTTAATGTGAATGACCTATTATCTGGCAGGTTGGATATTAAATAATATAATGAGGTCTGAGCAATTCCCGGGAGAAGCAAGTCTCTTTCTAAATTCAGAAACGAACATTCAAACTTGTAGTGTTCTAGTTCTGTCTTGGTTATGCTTTTACATAGTGTACAATATATATCTTCTGATTGTAAGTGTTTTATATAATTTTCTCTGTAGAATACGAAAATAATCCTTACTTGTGCTAAGAAGCATTTAACTGGCAGTGGAAGATCAGCGAGTAGATACTTTTCTGTAACAAATGATTTATGCAAATACTTGTAGTGGGGGTATAGCTTCGAATTGTCTATTTTGGCGTGGTTGGAATGTATGGATTGTTCCAGTGAAATCTTAATAATTCCTGGAATTTCTTTTTGAAGAATGTTAGGATCTGAGCAATAATTTAAGCCATGAGAATCCAGTACATTCAGTATTGCAGACAGGGTTTTTGAGAAGCCTATAAATTCTCCCGATACTGAGAATATTTCCCATAATTGTGCTAAGCAAATTAATGACAGTCTATTTTTTTTCCATATTTAATATTCTGAGCCAAAATTTCAAAATCAGTTTAGTTACTGTGACTCCTAATGAAAAGCGTCCAGTTTCCATGCGTAGTATATAGCCTGGTGTGGTTTTTGGTAGATTTAACAATCGCTGTAGAAAATTATCCTGGATCTGATCGGAAATTTTGTTTTAATCGGCTGTCCAAATACCAGTACAATTTCACATGTGTACTATTTTTTCACAATGATTCACGTTCTCATTCAATTCTGACCTTAAATACCTGTTTCATGATTTTTCAGGATGCCTGAATGACCAGTTTTTTGGTCGCTAAGGTACAGCTTGCACCACACTGATGAGGGCCAACAGCCCGAAACGCGTACGTGATTAGCTTTTCTTGATTAATCAAGAATGGGTATTTGGCCAATTCTGGAATAATTAAAAATCAACGAATAGTTGATATTTATTCCGATAGATGGCGCAAGCCATCAGCAACTTTCAGTTGCACGATAAGGAGATGTCTTTTTTTATTTATGAACTTTATCCCAGTACAATTTCACATGTGTACCATGTTTTCATATCGATTCGCGTTTTAACGCAGTTCTGGTTGTATCGGAATAAATAACAAAATTCATGATGATTTTATGAAATTCATGATGTTGCCCGCCGCTTTTATTTTGATTCGTATAGATTTAATTAATTATTAGTTTTTGTGTGGAATTGTATATATAATAGCTAGATAGACTTGCCTACAATCTTCGGCATCAGAAGGATCTTCCTCGGAAACGGCCGACTCCCCTGACACAGTCGTGCAGGTGCAGCCTCATGGCCCCACTCTCGGAGTAAACTTCTTCTGTCACCGCCGATGTCACACATGCCGTCTGTCCGCACGGCATGTAGTCCATTCATCCTTTCTCAACTTACCCTGGTATCTTCACCGGTCACTTAGGTTTTCATTCAGTAAAGGGTGGTCCAAATTAAACTACCTCCCAACTAATACTGTTCGACCCAAAAAGGGGCGAAACTCATTTGAAGAGCCTTTGATTTCCTTGATCTCTGGTTATATGAGGCTCGTCATCCCTCCCAAAGCGCAACAGCCGTAATAGCGTCAACCTTTGTTTTCAGAACCACATCCCAACCTGGGATTTCATTTCTTTCTTTCAACGCCATCGACTTATTCCGCTGTCGAGTGACCAGCCAATCCTAGGTTCTCCACAAGATGGCTGCCGGGCCTAACGAACATCGACGCTGTAGACCGTCTCTTGTTATATTGGAAGCGCCTTCCTGGTTCACGCTGTCTATATCGTGGCCACCAGCACGTCCATGTTAGAGGTTATCAAAGCGGGTTTCTTGATGGATAAAGTCTCCTGTCACCTTCTATTTTCTTATTTATGAAGATTTATCTTTTTAAACCGTCGATTTTTTTTACTAAGCAGTGGACTACGTAAACCTACTGGAAGCGTCGGGAGTCGTGGTGGATTCAATTTCGGTAGAACTCTTTCTAGGCGATAGCTGTGGGGTTGTCGGACGGAGGAGTGAAGGTGATCGACAAACAGTTGTAGCATTTCAGCTTACAACGCAGTGCGCGCGACTTCCGCGTCATTGTCGTTGGAATTTCATGGAGCGTCCAATGCTCTATCTCGTTCAGTTGGGTCGCCGCTTCCAACTTCGGGGTGCTTCGACCATCTAATCTTGTCGCCCAGCTCATTCCCATCCTGTTGGGTCGCCGCTGTAATCTCTGATAGCTTGGCCCCGTCGCAGAAGTCTGATACGCCGTCGCATTGCAGCTCGCAAAGATTGTTGATATCTTCATCAAAGTATTCAGAAGCGCGTCTAGTTTACGCACGGTACATCATCTGGAGAGCACTCAGTCCGCTTGACTTGGTCCAAAGCATTCGTGCTGCAGCCGTCGACTTCGGTAATCAGTTCTCCATCCTCTACTAAAATCGTTCTGAATAATCTCCATGGCACTATTTCCATTGTTGTACACCCAACCATCTCGCTGATTGAGCCCTTAGCAACAGTCACTCGCTACTGGGCCCCACTAGAGCAACTCCCATCACCGCGCAGTTCTCCGCTAGGCTCCTCGACCGCCCAGCATCGTAAGCTTTATTCGCTCGAGACTGGTCATAGAACAACACCTCTAGATGACACCTCTAGCATCATTGAAAACATGCTGCTAAGTTGAGTTATAGGAGAAATGAGCATCATTTAAGGCTAAACCCAGCTAAAGAAATAGTCAATCGCTATATCTTGTTTCGCAGAAGATGGTTACATCCAGGTTCTTCCAAACGAAGCTCGAACGTTGATCGATTGACACAAACTATCCATCTTTATCAGAACTTGGACGTGCGCCTCGCCGCGCATCACTCGCTATCTGCAATAGCGCGGGACACGGCACTGAGGGCCCAGCATTGCGGGACATGGCCTACGCCATTTTGACGCCCTGCATGTTTTCCAGAACACAATCGAAGACTTTCTGCGAGGCCTTAATCATCACCCTGATCGATTTCTTGAGACGCGATGAGATTTTTCAGGCTTAACCTTTATTCACTGGCTCCAATTTTGTAACGTAATGACTGGTGCATGGCCTTAGAGGTAAGGCCGAGTTTTAAATATGATAATTAACACGTATTTGCAAAATTTCAAAACATTTTGATCGCATTTTTATAAATACTTTAAAGATTTAAAATACAATATAACGCGGCTGATGATTGTAAAACGAAAATTGCAATTATACCGCGAATGTTTCTTCTAAACAAAAATCGAAATCTATTTTAAAGAGAAATAACGATTATTTCTAACTTTAAGGATGAAGTATGATAGGATGGATTGTGAAGAGTAATGACAAACGGAAAAATAAAAGTGTCCAGGGGCGGGAATCGAACCCACAACCTTCTGCTTACCGGGCAGGTGCCATGTCCACTAGGCTACCCTGGACGTATTTTTCCGTTCTTAAATAATATTTAAAGTAACTTATAAATGTATTATATACGAACGGAAAAATACGTCCAGGGTAGCCTAGTGGACATGGCACCTGCCCGGTAAGCAGAAGGTTGTGGGTTCGATTCCCGCCACTGGACACTTTTATTTTTCCGTTTGTCATTACTCTTCACAATCCATCCTATCATAATTCATCCTTAAAGTTAGAAATAATCGTTATTTCTCTTTAAAATAGATTTCGATTTTTGTTTAGAAGAAACATTCGCGGTATAATTGCAATTTTCGTTTTACTTTAAAGATTTATAAATAAAAAAACGAATGACCAGGCTTCACCCGAGAATTCCCCCGAGTGCAATTTCTTTCATACTGAAAGTATATCAATAATAAATTATTGTTTTAAAAATAGTAGAAGTGTAATAGAATAGCAATACAGAAGTAACATATAAACCACAGGCAAAAAGTGTGTGTGATGGCAAAAATTTTATTATATTAGTGTTTAGATATTTGATTAATTTTTTTTTTTTGCAATCCATTTAGTTGTTTCAAAATCAATATAGTTTAAATAGATGGCAGCTTTCTACCCAACTCCCGAGGTACCCGCCCCAGCGCATTAACCCTTGAAATTGCCTGAGTTGAGTGAGTGAATGCGATGGATCTTGACTGCGATGCCCATCTTCTCAGTAAGCGTAAGAAAAAATAGGTTTATAAAAAAAATTAATCCAAAATACTGGCATGTAAATCTTTTTCTGTAAAAAAAAATAAATTAAAAAAAATAAAAGAAACTCATTGCGAAAGGTTGTAGTTTTATTTTTGAAATTTGTAACGCAATTTTTCGTTTACTTCAAAAAAATAAAAGAGCACATGGAAATTAGGCAAACAATATTTCTTTCTAGAGTCTCTACTCTATGTGGGAGCGCAAGCAGCCTTGATGATCGACGGAGTAGGACATACATTGCTTTTCCTTCTCAACGGGGTGAAGCAGGGCTGCGTCTCGGCTTTCTTGAAGATCTACATTATGTCTTTCTTCTTCGCCTAGAGCAGTTGCTTGGCCTAGGAAGCGTTCTGAGTGCGCCGACGATATCGCTTTCTCATATACACGAAGGAACACTTTGAGCTCGTCAAAAAGATCTTTGAAGACTTCTGGCGTGAATCTGGAATCTACGTGAATTTCGGCAAGAGCTAAGGCTTCTTGTCCAGTAGGTGGAAGAATCTCATTGATTCTCTCTAGGCATATCCTGGCACAATCAAAAGATAAATATCTTGAAAACTATCGTGACTTCAAGACAGGAAACTTCCGCGCAAGCCAACCACCTTCAGAAACTACAGGAAAGGGCAATCACAAAGTGATCGCCTTTGTTCGCGGCCTCTCAAGGGGCGCGGGCGAGAGCTGAAAACAACCTGCTGGTATAATCTGTGCTCTAGAATCTACAATCCAACCTGCCCAATTAAACTACCCTGTATAGAATTCAGATACCGCGGTTCGTCTGAAAAGGTAACCGCACCGCGTGTCTTCCTAGCGACTTTCGTTGCTGAAGACATGGGACTCCTCAACGTTGCAACCAATCTTCGGCTGGCATGCCTCAATGGTATCCAGACAATGCTGTGTAGGGCCGCAGCGCTCACAACTTTGGCTCATCGCGAGCGGGATAAAGCTGTCTCCTGTGTCAAATCCTGGCTTCCACCGAGGCGTTATAGGAGTCTTCATCTTTTCAAAACTGCCGCGGGGATCCCCGTGTTGGACGCACGAAACCTACCGCCCGCAATTCTATTAGGTGTCAGGATTACGGGTAACTGCCACGTCCAGCGTTCTTCCCCACATCCCCCACTCAGACAGAGCTCCTGACTTTTAGCCAGATGGCTGAGATTGCTAGTCTGGATCTAGCCGGAACCTCATTAGTCCTTCCTCAGCCTACACTGAGTACCCTCGCGGACGCCACTACACTGAGAACTTTCTGTCAATGCCTTGTAGCAAAGCATATTTGAGAAAGATATCGGGTTTCTAATTTGTCAGAGATGATAGTGGTGAGCGCGCGGGAACATTCACGCTATTCCTTTATCTCACTGCCCACATATCTTGCTGGGACTAACACGCCTTGATGCCCTACCTATCTCCCAACTCCTGGAGAGATGAAAAACAACCATAAATTTCCCCCGGTATCGAATGGACATCACTCAGATTTTGTTGTTTCTCGAGCACGATGCAGACGTGGCCTCACCCCCTCCCTGTACTCCGGTCTTCTCCCTGATCTTTCTGCATAGCCTGTGGTTCCAGAAATCTGGGCCGCTGGTACTGATCATGCCGCTGCGTCAGACCTTTCATTCGAGAGGCCTTCAGCACAGGAGGAAAAAGTGATATTCTAACTACGCCCAGGAGAGAAAGACGGGACACTTCTCTCTGTCCAAAAAAAGGAAAAAGATATGACTTATACCTACCACAGAAAAAAGGTGTGACATTTACCTATCCCTAAGGAGAGACAACTGACAATTAACAACTTTATTGACTTCTGGAAAAAGCAAAAAATCTCTTTCTTCCCCCAGGAGAGAAAAACGTAAAACCTATCTATTCCCAGGAGATAAGTACATAACTGCCTACCTGCCATAGGAAAGAAAGACGTGACATTAGCCTATTCCCAGTAAAGAAAGACGTGACATTTACATAACCTCAGGAAAGAAATACGTGACATTTACCTATTCCCAGTGAAGAAAGACGTGACACTTACCTATCCAGTGAAGAAAGACGTGACACTTACCTATCCAGTGAAGAAAGACGTGACATTTACCTATTCCCAGTGAAGAAAGACGTGACATTCACCTATTGCCAGTGTAGAAAGACGTGACATTTACCTATTCCCAGTGAAGAAAGACGTGACATTCACCTATTGCCAGTGTAGAAAGACGTGACATTCACCTATTGCCAGTGTAGAAAGACGTGACATTTACCTATTCCCAGTGAAGAAAGACGTGACATTCACCTATTGCCAGTGTAGAAAGACGTGACATTTACCTATTCCCAGTGAAGAAAGACGTGACATAACCTATTTCCAGTGAAGAAAGACGTGACATTCACCTATTGCCAGTGTAGAAAGACGTGACATTCACCTATTCCCAGGAAAGATAGACGTGACATTCACCTATTCCCAGGAAAGAAAGACGTGACATTCACCTATTCCCAGGAAAGAAAAACGTGACATTCACCTAATACCAGGAAAGAAAGACGTGACATTCACCTATTCCCAGGAAGGAAAGACGTGACATTTACCTATTCCCAGTGAAGAAAGAAGTTACATTTATACATAAACCCAGTGAAGAAAGACATGACATTTACCTAACCTCAGGAAAGAAAAACGTGACATTTACCTATTCCCAGTGAAGAAAGACGTGATATTTACCTAACCACAGGAAAGAAAGACGTGACCCAGGATACAAGTACATAACTGTCACAGGAGAGAAAGACGTGACATCTACCAAGGATACAAGTACATAACTGTCACAGGAGAGAAAGACGTGACCAAGGAGACATGCCAGTTTACCAGAGGGTGTTCAGAGCCAACGCCTAATAGATCAATAGGTTTGATGGACGTCGTCCCAGTCCTCGATATCTCCCTTAGACATAAGTTGCCTGTGGATTATCTTCACAGATTTTCTCCCATTTTGATTTTCATTTCTTTAATTCATAATAAACATGAATCTTATTTTTATTTATTTGAAATATTGTTTTCGTTACAAAAGCATATAATTTAAGCTTTTGAATAATATAACAATGCAACAATTTTGCTGAAAATAATAATGAATGGGATTATTTACAAACCCAAATTTTTCAATTTACATTTAGTATTTAATACATCGAATATTGTCATGGGTAAACTGCAATACATTTTCATATAGAAAGATTTTCACAAAGCATGATAATTCAATTTTTAACTTAGGTTATTAAGAAAAGTGAACATTCAATCAAAAGTGTCAAATATTTAAGCACGATTTAAGATAATCTCAAGAAATATGATATTTTTATTAAACATATTGTTTATGATTTTGTGAACAGGCGTTGACAAAACTTAAGGAAGTGTTGTCTTTGAAATAGCCGGTTGTATATATTTTTGAAGGAGACAGAGACAATTTTGTTCACACTTTGTTATCTCGTGTGTCTTCAATAAAGATCACTGTAAAATTTTTCAGAGTTATTGTCTGAATCCCGATATACATTCTAAAAAGTACAACTTTCTTAAGTTTTGCCTATGAGTGTATATCGAGCAATAAGACGATCCCTGATCAAATTCCAACGAAATCCATCAAAACGGTAAAAAGGTCATCCTGATAAGAAGAGCAAAACCGAGCGAAACAGAAAAAATCGATGACGTTAAAAATAACTGAGGTCGGAGTCAACAGAGCACGTGAAGAGGTGCGATGAAGATCCAGTATTGATCGGCGCGACAGATCGACATGCTGGCGAGGCAGCGCTGGGCGAGAGCGTGCAGGTAGGTCTCGTGACTGGGTGGAGCAGGCATCGAGTACCTCTACATAGCTTGAGCAATCAGTACAGATTTATAGGTAGGGCGATAAGTGCAGCTTGGTAGCTAGAGTGGTCAGTACAGCTCAGTAACTGGAGCAATCAGAACAGTTTTATAGCTAATGGTGTGGCTTGGTATCTAGTTAAAGAGGGGGGGGGGGGGGTAGATACAGCGCGACAACGACAAATGACAACCATTTCTGTTTTCCGTTCTCGTCTTTTTGTCTGTGATTGTTCGAACCCGACATACGCTTCAATGAGTCTTCCTTCCCCTTTGAGCCCTTATTTATATCCAGTACAACCTGAACCTATCTACGAATTAAACTTGTCCAATGTACTGGGCAGATACAGGAAACCAGCTATCAGGTGGAATGGTTGATACCTGATGCTCTCTGCAAGGACGCTTCTAATGATGCGTATGCAGAGCGAGGAAAACACAGATTGGAAGAGTCTATAGCGATACTCTCGCCTCTCGTCCACACCGGCCATTCTCTTTCTAATCTTAAAAAGTTCGGAGGTGAACCTTTTAACCCCTTTATATGGTTATGTCAATGGTTATATTGGGGTTAGGGGGTTGTATGTATATATAGCTGGGGTAGTTAGTTCAGATTAGTGACGGGGGGGTCATTTGGTA